AAATTGCTTTTTTTTGGACACAGTCTCACTTTGTTGCCCTCAGTAGAGTGCAGTGGTGTCATAGCTCACAGCAACCTCAAACTCTTGGGCTTAAGCGATTCTCTTGCCTCAGCGTCCCAAGTAGCTGGGAATACAGGCACCCACCACAATGCCCAGCTATTTTTTGTTGCAGTTGTCATTGATGTTTAGCTGGCTGGGGCCGGGTTCAAACCCGCCAGCCTTGGTGTATGTGGCTGGCACTGTAAACACTGTGCTACGGGCGCCGAGCCAAGCCTGGTTATTTTTTTGTAGATGGGGTCTCACTCTTGTTCAGGCTGGTCTCAAACTCCTGAGCTCAAGTGATCCACCTGCCTTCACCTTCCACAGTGCAAGGATTACAGGCATGAGCTACCACGCCTGGCTACAAATTGCTTTATTGCAAATATATTTTCTGAAGGGCATTCAGAGATTCAGTGATTTTATCACACTGAGGTAACTCTAACCAAGTCTATCTGCTCTGTCTACTCTGTCACAGCAAGAACTAGATGGAGGACCAACGGCAGCTTCAGCAGGTGGGTACTAACCTCCACTCTGTGTGCTGGGTACAAACCAATTCTGAATCAAATCCAAGATTCTAAGCTTGATCCTCAGCACTAAAACCTCAGATGTCCATTAATAAAATCATAAAGTTGACTCTTCCCAGGGCTAAAGTGCTCAGGTGAGTATTTCTAATTAAGGATCCTTTCATCCACAATGACGTGGGCATACTTAGCAACGAATTTTTAATGAATTACCATTAAGTGTTAGTCACTATAAAACAGATCAGATTTATGCGAAGAAATATGTTATCTACAGAAGCAGTTGATATTTTATTTTCAAGATGTGGTCATGGGGCATATTACCACTACAAAAAGCTTTGTTAATAATCCCCACTATAAACTTTTTTTCCTAGTTCATTTCTTTTTCTGCTTATAGGCACTTTATAGTTTTTCCTTCATATTTTACCCATTGTTGTTTCAACCAATCTAATCACCTTTGTTTGAAATAAAACCAATCCCCTACTGTTATTTTAACTTCCATATTTCCCAGGTAATAAGACTTTTTCAGATTAATGCACTACTGCTACACTACCCCATAAGAGACAGAGAAGGACTGAATATTTATATTTACAGAATCTTTTCCTAAGTACTCAGTAGACGGCAGTAATAAACAACAAGAATGGCCTTGGCTCTGCTGTGTAGAAAGAAACCATTTCATCACATGCCACTCCCAGATGACTCCGATTCAAAAGACTTGGGTTGAGGAAATAAATTTCTCTTTTCATTTCAACCAATAGCAAAAAAAAACTAGATACGGCTATTCTATGAGACTTTCGATTCAAAGCTACTTCGGAAAATTACTTTGCATTGTAACGTAGGGGTCAATAAACTTTTAGCTGGGGAAAGGACGGTAAAGAAAAAAATGCATTAGGGAGGAAGAGAGCTGCATTTAAATTTATATTCAATCTTCATTTCCAATTTTTGATTTTTGTTGGCATTTTATGAACTGGTTATAATGTACAACAGTGTCTTAACGGCAATCATTCTGAACTCGTTGTGAGAAGACATGAGGATGGATGTCTAATTCTAGACCCATTATGTCAATAAATGAAGGTCAAAGTCAAGATTAAAAAAAAAAGTCTGTCCCTATTCAACTCATGTAACAAGTATTTATGGAAACCCTAGTCTGTGTAAAGAGATCGTTGAAGAGTATGGGGGAGGGGAACCTTCCCTTCCACCCTCTGAGGGTTCGGTAACTGAGTCTATGAGCTAAAGTGATGGCAGGAAGATTAACGAGAGAGAAAGTGTCCATATTTATTGTGTACACAGGGGCATCACAGGAAAGAAAAGTGAACACCCCCAACCAGCGAGATCAAGGGGACACAAGAGGGGAATGTGGGCAATGCAGGGAGAGGAAATGGTTTTGGGGAAAGATGAATGGGCCCTCTAAAGAAGACCTAACAGTCTATGACAAAGTCTGTGCTTGGTGTCACCTCCATTATCCCCTGTGGTCTGTGTTCACTGCCCCTGGTTAAGTGAGATTCTCAGGGAGGACATTCGTGACAACCGAGTTCCTTTGGAAGATGTGTCTTTAGGCAGAAAGATGCCTAAAGTAAGGCACCTTTTCAGAGGAAGGTGCCTAATGTTCAGACCAAGCCTTGGCCTACACATGCTGGTCCCCAACGTCCTCAGTATGAAGTAATCACCACACCAGAGAGGCACCGATTTTGGAGTGGCATTTAGCTGAACTTTTTCAGGTGCAACTGGTAATAATAAAAAAATATTTAAGACAAATCTCGTACTCAAGGAGCTTATAAAAAACTATGGGAATGAATCAGGTAACAAGGCTGGCCAGCTAGCATGAACACAGTGTTCTTATAAAAAAGACAAATGAGGCAGGGGGATTGCTTGAGCCCAGGAGCTGGAGGTTGCAGTGAGCTATGATCCTGCCATTGCAACTCCAGCCTGGGCAACAGAATGGGACCCGGTCTCTGAAACAACAATAAAGACTAACCTGATATTGTATTCATGCCTGAATAAAAAGTGTAAGAATATACGTCATAACCTGTAAAGAGTTAAATTATAGAGGCCTTTTAGTTTTCTATATATTTTTTATAATTTGGATATTTTTAGAAACGTATTTTGTAATTGGGAAAAAATCAAAATACGATGTCTGTATTTTGGTGCTGTAAGGAAACAAGTGAATATAAAATATTTGTTCACTTAGGTTGTTGGTGGCTCATGGGTGGATTTGTCTGTTTCAACTGACTGCGCTGTTCGAGCAGAATTTTAATGACAGATTTAATTCAACAATAAAGGAAGTGTATGGAAATTTTAAGTCCTTTGATTGGAATGATCTACTTTATCATGTATTAGGAGCAAAGGCCTCACAGCCATTTTTATTTCTTGCTAAGGAGAAGGGCCATGAAGGAAGTGACGGTGTAGCTATCTCTGTGATCTACTTCTACTCGGGGGCTCAATAACCGATTCTCTTGCCTCAGCCTCCTGAGTAGCTGGGATTACAGGTGCCCACCACAACGCCTGGCTATTTTTTAGAGACAAGGTCTCACTCTGGCTCAGGCTGGTCTTGAACCCGTGAGCTCAGGTGGAAAACGGGAGAAGAAACCTGTGTGTCAGTCTGCTTGTCATGATCTGCTGCGTTCCGTGTGCTATGTGGGTAACTCCTCTACTGTCATTAAAATGCAACATGGCCATTTATGGTTCTCTAACTTCCAAACACTTTCATAATGTTAATATGCTGCCCTGAAAAAAAAAAAGAAAATTAAAACAATCCTGGCTGTATTTCAGAAGAGTGTCAGCAGCCTTGACCTGTTTCAAGATAGCCAGACAAAATGGAAAAGGGGCCTCACCACTTTAGCAAGTCCTAGCTACATCACTGACCGTTTTTCAAATCCTGTAATCTCGTTTTCAGTGTGGCTGCGGGCTGAATCACCCCTTTCGGAGATGGCACAGATAGTGGTACTGCTGTAGCTTTTCTTATTTACTACAGATCAACTGTCATGTTAAGTGAAAAAATTCTGATGGAGCATGAGGCATCTCCTGTTAATGAAGGCTGATGTCCTTCTGGCTGTGAACAAAGGGTGTCTGGTACTTGCTAACGCAAGTACTGAAATACTGAACGCAAATACTGAAAAACTGTATTATTTTATAAAGTTAATTGTGGATTTCCAAGTATCCTTTAAGCACTAGCGAATCCATTTATTCATTTTGCAAGATAATGGGAGCGAGAAGGGCAGAGAAGGAGGCTCTCTGTCAGTCCCATTCCACAAACCAAACTACGACACAGGGACTGAGCCAGCAAGAAGCATCACTCACCACTTATTCTAGTTGTAATTAAGAGCTGACTCAAAATTTCATTTTCATAGGAGCTGTGTTTAGATGCAAAACTTTGTTTACATTCTTTTTGACAGAAATATTTAAATACTGTAGAACCTCTGTAACTTGACCCCCCGAGGGACTGTAACGAAGTGGTCAACATACAGAGGTGATTAACATAGGGAACTGGGCCCACTGTACTGATACGTACATGTGGTGCATGTCCAGTCTATGAAAATTGGGTAAACTTAAGGAGGTGGTCACTGCAGGGAGGTGGTCAGCTATGGAGGCTCTGCTATACTTCTATTTCCCAAAGTTACATTCATTAGAGTCCTGAATAAGGGCACTTAAAGTTAAAAAACTAGGTCTAGAATGTGGCAATGGATGTACACAAACATACACGCACCTGCTCGCTGTGCTGCAGTGGAAAACAGACACACGTTCAAAGGTTTTGAGGGATAGACCCTTGGGGTCTCTGCATACAGGTGGCAGGACTCCATGTCACAAACCAGAAGGAGCAGAACAGGCCAGGGATGTGTGGGGCTGCACAGGGTTCACTTAGATTTAAAGTGTCTTTGGGGCGGTGCCTGTGGCTCAAAGGAGGAGGGCTCTAGCCCCATATACTGCAAGTGGCAGGTTTAAACCCGGCCCCGGTCAAAAAGTGCAATAATAATAATAATAATAATAATATAATAAAAGGTCTTTGGAAGCAGTGATCTAGTAAAGCAACTTTTGAATCTTGCAAAGAACAGTTTTTACTTTATTCTTTTTCTAAACCATCATAGCTTTATTCTTATTTACAACTGAAAATTTAAGCTGGAATAGTATTTCGGTGAAGTTCTTGGAAATCAGGCAGAAGAAAAATACCTTCATTTAAAAAGTCAAATAAAAAAACGTTTTGGTTCTGCAGCAGATCAAACTGGCTCTTACATTAACATCTTAACAAATTAACATCACCCTGAGATAGCAAATTCTAGTGCTACCTGGGGTGGCAGGTTACAGAGTTTACACTCAAAAGCCATAAAAATGGCCAAATGGCTGATGGCAAATGGAATTAGCCTCGAGTCAGTCTGGGATCAGCTGATCTTTATGATACGAAGGCAACGCTCAACAAAGAACCCATAAAATGAAATGACGCAGACCAACCTTTTATTGCACCCACAATATTTTGGTCTAGTCCTTTCCGGTTGTCATTGAGTCCTCTTTTCCTCTTCCCATTGGGTAAGGAGTTAGCCAAAGTCTTGTCATCAAAAAACGCACACACCAGTTTTCTAAACAGAAGGCTTCCAGAGCGAGTGTAGTTTGACAATATAGAGTCCAGCTGAGATTTGGGCATAAACACATCAAAGCCTTCAGCAAGTTGCACTTCTGGCTACCAAAAAGAACATAAATATTTCATTAAAAGCAAGATTTGAAGCATTTGACTATAGGAAATGCTATACTGTTTGAAGCATTTGACAAATTTGACTCTTTGTCCTAAAAAAGAAATCACTAGCTATTGAAACGTCCATATCCCACAAATGAAACAGTCTCAGCTTTGTGCGCCAGCGTTTGCAATTTATAAAACCTGTGACAGGTGATAATTCACAAAACAAGATGCCCTAACTCCGACGGTGGGTCTTGTCAAAAGCAACAGAAAGGAAACAGTCCGGAGAAGGCTGGATGACCACAAAGCTGTATCATTCTAGAGCTGAGCCTTCTGGACGAAAGCCCCTCATTTTGTAAACTAAGACTCCAAGAGACAGTAACAAAAACGACTTAAATGTAATCCCAATGTGCTCAGCATGCTAACTTTACCCATCACTCTCTTACACATTAAATAATGTAACTGCTTTCACCTAAGGGCACAAATACAGGGCTCTTCCTGGCTCTTTCTACTATGCCAGTGCCTTTTAGCTGTGAACTGTTTTATCTCCCCAACGAGAACTTATGTAAACTAATACATAAAATAATAAAAACGACGAGGTCTCCAGGCACTTTGAATCCACTCCCCACCCCTACTTTTGAGAAGAAATCAGTGCACTGGTCACAGTAACTACTTCCCTGTCGGAACTTCCTGTGTTACAGGATCCACAGACCTACAAGGTGCCTTTCAACTTGAACTCTACTGTAGGACACTAACAATGCCGCCTCCACCAGCACAAAATGGACGTTTACAAGGTGGCTCTTCACCTTTCACCCAGCTCATGCCCTTTCCTCTCTGAACTTGTTCTCACTGGTGGAGATGGCTAGGCACTCTCTGTTCCTGCTGTTTATTCAATGGACATATATGATTGGATTAATTACACTGTATCAGAATTATTTATTGGATTGCAGCCCTTCCTGACCTGAAGCTCAGACAGTCTGGGACCCAGCACATAGTAGGCACTCAATAAATTCTTGTTGAGTGGAATCACAGTTCCTTAGCCATCATCTAAACTACCAAGTCATTTAATTGTTTTTCGTTATAATGTGGTAGCTTTAAAAATAATAACTTCACCATGAAGAAATGCAATTGGTAAACTTTTATTAGGAAAAATGTCCCATGTCCCTATCAAAGCTGATTCTCACATCTTGTATTGATCACTCTGCAAACCTGCTACCACGTTGGAGTTTCTATGTCGTATCAGAAACGTGGGGATTTGGGATTAGTTTCTCTCCTGGGGAGCAGGAATGGTATCTTTGTCTTTGTTTTATTGCTTTTCAACATGTCTGGCACGCTGTGGTCAAAGCAAGTACTTGGAGCACAGCTTAAATTATTTGGAAGACACAGAAAGGAGTTTGGGCCCCTTCAAAATGGAGTTTTTGCCTGAATTATCCAGAAAGTCGTCTTCTTTCTCTGCCTCACTTTGAAACTCAGCATTAGGTCTCTAAATTCTTGGTAAATGTCGCTATACGCGCCTTGCCATTAGATGCTTTCCCTGACCTTGGTACCTCGCTGCTTGCTGGTGGCCGGTCTGCAGAGGAAGCTGTCTGGAGCCAGAGGCTGCATCCCTAATTCTTAGAACAGAGGTGGCACAAACCAGGCCCTCAGTAAGTATTTGTTGAATGATTCAGTGCAGAAATATTAGGACGCAGAGAGCTTCACCATCACATTCTAGTGAAGTTTTATTTATAACCAGAATTTCATTCTGCATATGGTTGCACGTAGAGATTTTGCCCTAAATAAACTGACCTCAGCTTTTTGCTACATATCATCTAAACGCTATTAAAAAAATTACAAGTTTATCTTCTAGATGCAGCTACTCCAGCTATGGGAGGGTAGAAGGTGGTATAGAAGCTCTTAACTGACTTGTTCAACTAACCCCCAGTGTGACCCTGATGCCATTAAATGCCTGCCACCTGCCCCGGGAGACACCCTCTGGGATTCATCCTGTGGAACCAGACGACGGCAGGCAGAACCAGGCACTCCTGTCTTCTCGGACTCCGTGCATCTGAACACTGCACTTACTTAGCTGTGTCTTTGGGCTTCTCAACAGAATGGGGACTCTTTTGTCCCTGGAGAGCCAAGCACCCCGGTAGTGTTAGCAGGTGCTCCTCAGAATAAAAATACAATATCAGGTTTCATTCTTTTTCTATTTTTTATTGATTGATTGATTTTTTTTTTGAGACAGAATCTCAAGCTATTGCCCTGGGTAGAGTACCATGGTGTCACAGCTCACAGCAACTTCCAACTCTTGGGCTTAAGTGATTCTCTTGCCTCAGTCTCCCAAGTAGCTGGGACTACAGGCGCTGCCACAACACCTGGCTATTTTTTTTGTTGTTGTTGTTGCAGTTGTCATTGTTCTAGTTGGTCTGGGCAGGATTTGAACCCTCCAGCCTCTGTGTATGTGGCCAGCGCCCTACCCACTGAGCTATGGGCATCACCTCAGGTTTCATTCTTAATGGCTGGTGGCTGGGCAGGGTGGCTCATGCCTGTAATCCCAGCACTCTGGGAGGCTGAGGTAGGTGGACAGCCTGAGTTCAGGAGTTCAAGACTAGCCTGAGCAAGAGTGAAACCCCAATCTCTACTAAAAATAGAAAAACTAGCTGGACATTGTGGCAGGCATCTATAGTCCTAGCTACCCAGGAGGCTGGGGCAGGAGGATGGCGTGAGCCTAGGAGTTTGAGGTTGCGGTGAGCTAAGATGCCACACTCTACCCAGGGGGACGACAGAGTAAAGACCCTGTGTGAAAAAAAAAATGGCTAGTGTTGATTCTGAGATCTTTTGCCCCTTAATAAAGGAAGAGGGCCTGAAAACTGCCACGCTACGGCTCAGCACACCAACATCTTCCTAGATCAGCTCACGTACCCGCTCTGGCAGTAGAGGAGCTGGAAAAAACTAACCAGCTAACTGAATAGCATCTACTCAGCGAGCAGCGGCTGCGTCAGGAGTTTGAAGGCTGGCTCTGCAGATGAGACCTGTAAATGCCCATCCTACAAAGGACAAAGTGACACACCTTATGGGACAGGCACAGAGCAAGCGCTGCGATGGCGCCAGGTAGGATACGGCTGCATGGGGACAGGACAGTGACAGCATCTTAACAGGGCCTTGAAGGGGGGACTGAGGAGACAGGTGTCGTTGCTGTTTCTGGCATTTGCTCTGTGGACTTCCTATCAGTATTCTGATTTTTCAGGTGCCACCAAATCCAGAAGCTGTCACTGCTTGCCGTCCCTCTCTCTACTGCCACACACTGTTGCTTTGGACTCATCTTTCCCAATCGAGGCACATGAAGGCTCTGCCATCTGAGCACTTTACAAAGTAGTGAGTGGCCTGTGATGGCGGCAGCCACGAAGGAGCAAGGGCTCAGGTGCTGAGCTCCGTCCCTTCCTGCTGCTCACTGCCTTGTCTCCTGTTGGGACCTCTCAGTGAGCAGAGAACGAGAGCTAATGCTGCGTCTACCAGAGCCACAAGGCTATGGCACTTGCTGAGAAAAAACATGGGCCGCTCTATTGTCTGAAACAGGAAGAACAGAGGATGTTCCTTAATCTCAGATTTTCACTGTGAAAATCTGATTTCCTCCTTTTTACAAATATAATTACAGTGGATTACTACTCATCATGACCGGCAACTTTGTATACATATATTTAAAAACAGGCTGACACTCTTTAATTCTGTCCCTGAATCTCTTCCTTTGGTTTCCTGGCTCCAGTGTAAATGAGATCTCTCTGCTTACTAATGATAGCTGTGACGGAGACCAACACTCCTCCAAATGAATGTCATTTTAAGAACCAGACTTCCCTTGACAGACTCACTGTTTGACACTTGAGCCTAGACAGACAGCTCATACATTATTTTACAGACTATTGATTACTGAAGCAATGCAATCATTAAATGACGACATCCAAAGTTGGGGCAGAATTTATGACGCTTACAGTCATCATTTTAAAAATCTGAATGCCCAACATAAATTTGGGATTTTCTTTTCTTTTTTTAGAGACAGAGCCTCACTTTGTGGCCCTCGGTAGAGTGCCGTAGCGTCACAGCTCACAGTAACCTCCAGCTCTTGCCTCCGCCTCCCAAGTAACTGGGACTACAGGTGCCCACCACAACGCCCGGCTATTTTTTTGTGGCAGTTTGGCCGGGGCCAGGTTTGAACCCACCACTCTTGGTATATGGGGCTAGCACCCTTCTCACTGAGCCACAGGTGCTGCCCAAATTTGGGATTTTTGTGTGTCTTGCCTCTTTTAGGTACCTCTGCCACTTAGCACAACAATGTATCTAGTGTTCAGTGGTGTGCCATCTTACACAGGCCCTTCTGGAGGCAGAAGCTGTGTATCTTCATAATGGCTCTTGAAAATACCCCGGGATCCAGGTCTGCAAATGTTAACTGGGTTGATACTTTGCATTTCAGGGGTGGCCTCCCTTTCCTTAGGAGCAGCTGGGGTTCAGATCTGGTTTGGTAGGGGCTCTCCTAACCACGCCTGCCTCATTTTTCCTTTTGGGGGTGGGGTTTTGCTATGTTACCCAATCTAGTCTCAAACTCCTTATGCAATTATCTGCTTATGCAATCCTCCTGCCTCAACCTCCCCAAGTGCTGGAATTACAGGCATGAACCAATGTACCTAGCCTATGAAAAGAAATTCTAAAAAACATAAACCCTCCCCCAAATAATTAATTTTATTTTGCTCATAAATGTGATCTGCTTCTGCTTGAGAAAAACTAAAATTGTTTCTGTAACTTCAGATCTGCTTCAGGTAGACTTAGCAAGAATTATTGCAACCACTTCCTAAACACTACACTGAGAACATGGCCAGCAAGTGGGGTGGCCATAAGAACTTGCGAGCCTGTGGGGCTGGTGCAGCTCAGAACAGGATGGCCTGGGGACACACAGGGCCACGAACCCCAGTGGTGATGTGGCCTCAGCATGCACATGTCCTACATCAAAGGCTGACGGTGCAAAGTGGACACTT